TCACTATTTCATAATACTGAGGTAGAAACCTCAGTATAAAAGGAGCCGCCCCAGGGAGTCGAGGTCGTCGTCTCTCGGATGTCAGCTTAGCCCCCAAGCTAACCCGACCCTTTGTCTGGGCTATCACCTGCCCTCTCGTCTGTCCCCCCTTATGTCCTCTCTTGTTAGTTACTCATATACTCATATAATAAACATATATACTTACATACTCTTTCATACAGAAGTATTCCTAGATCCGTTACACATCAGGTATAGGCCCGATCAACCTATAACTTGATAAATTCCGCATCATTTTTTTTCACCTTTCTTCATCATTTTTCAGGATAAAGACTCTCGTTCTCCGAAAAATAAAGCACTGCATTTGATTGAAACATCGCTTACCTCGAAGCTAAGAACATCAAATATTGTTTTCGTGCCGCAGAACTCGGCTTGGTCATCTTCATCGACCGCAAGCAAAGTTGAGTTCTTGGTCGTCCTACGATGAACGGCCAAGAACCCAAAACACCACACTGGTTGCAATTAGAGTGAATCAACGAATTGTGGGAAATATTTATAAAAGTTACCCACTTTTTGTATACACCGGTATAATAGTCAGACGGGAAAAATGTACAGAGCGGTATTTGTAGGCAAAATGTAGAGAGGTCATAACAAACACAAAAAGAAATCATACTCTGATATAAATATTTTCTTGAACATTCGTCAAAACACATTTAAACTAAACATCATGTAACCATATAAATTATCTCTAACCTATATCTAACTGTGAACCTACTCCGCACACAACAGCTGAATCGGTGCATACGCTTAGAAAGAAATATAAGGTGTGAAATGGATAAAAACTGAAAAAAGTCACTCAAATTAAAACCGCGAACTATGAATAATAGGGGAATTACGAAAACCTACAAAGGCACAATACAAGCTTTTTATTTTTGTGTCATATTTTCAGTATCTTCTATACAAACTACTACTTAGTCTCCTAATTACGGACAATCATATCTTTCTTAAGTTCCTTACCAACTGGTTCAGAACTCGAGCTTGACGTTTCAATTGAGGATTGGCCGTAAGGTTGTAGAATTCTGTAAATTCATGTATACAGCGGAGAAGCGCAACTATGGTGTTGCGCGTTAGAACGCTGACATCGGCGTTAGGCGGAACGGGACGGCGCCCTCGCTGATCGATACCTCGCAGTAGCAAAGTAATTCGCTCGCTCATGGGTTAGCGGGAGTAATCGATCTGCGAGGTATTGATCGACGATAAGCGCCGACGTCCGCTTTCTAACGCTAACATCGGCATTCTAACGCATTAATTGACGTTAGAACACAGGTACTAAGAAAATATTAGCAAAGAGCGCAACTGGACCGTTCAGCGCAAATGATACACTCTATTTCGAGTGTTGAAAGCATTAGAGAATCGGAAATAGGTAAACAAACCTGTCAAGCTCTGCATGAGACCTTCAATAACTTTAGGCACCATCACACCAATATCGTCATCGTGCGGTTGAAGAACATCGACAATGTGTTCCATATACCTTGAAGCAAGTTGTATAATCTATTCATTGTATCCTACAGAAAGAATACATGCACTAAGGGTGCAGATTTTGTTCCGCAAAAGAATCAATGCTGTATATCTTTATGTTCAGCCTTTAATCTTCTCACCGAAATTTCAGATCAGTGTCAGAGTCGAGGCGTAAAGAGAGCTGCTGCAGGAGAGATAGTAGCACAGGTTGTGAGAGCGTACCCGGATAACGGAAAATCTCATCAGGATCAACATTGTTACAGACAAATTCCAAAGCAGTTTGATCACCCTGGTTCAACGCCTGCAAAGCACCACTTCATGATGAGGCACAACTACAGCGACTTCTTATTTCTCCAAGAACAAGACCCAATATGGAACAGCTAATTATGTTCTCTATGCAGCATTCGCTCGTTTGATATTACAGGTAGTGATTAAACAGCCATAATGTTAGGTTTTAAGTTTTGGCAATAATTATTTATCACGGAATTTTATTTTAAAATGAGTTTCACTGCATTCTCATGAATTCCGTACTTACCGTTTCAAATGCAAGGGGTATTTGATTAGTTTTGATCATATGAGCAAGCGCCTGGCGGTCAGCACCGACAGAAAGTGAAGGGGCTGGAGTGGCGGTTGCGGCAACTGCTGCCAAAGTAGCTGTCTGCAGTGCTCGCATTTGTTGAAGGTACTAAAAAAATAATTACAATTAATTAATGGAGATGCACTGCTATATCTACAACCTAACTGAAGTAATCTTAAATTGTTCTAAATGAAATGAAATGTTGATTAGGAAAATAATTGAACTCTAGTGAAACATTGCAGTACGCAGCACTTGGAAAAAACTTATGATCGTATTCGTCTTATCCTAAATGGCCTAGATCCTTCCCTTATTAGTCCGAAGACTATAGGATCTGTAGTCTCCAAAACTACCAAATAATTATTACCGCAGTGAACACCTAAATATCGACAATTCCGCGTAAAACCCTGTTATAGTAGAGTGAGCTACCAACTCCACTTCTCTCAACTGAGACTGATCAACTTCTTAAAAAAGAGAGACTACAGGATAGTTAGAGGTGGTGTAGGGGTGATAAGAACTGATAAGAGCCACGAGACACGTTCTGTAGAAGTGATGTTAGAGATGGAAACTCAAGCTTGTTATACATAGGAATTGGAGCCGGCTTCTGCCAAATCACCTACAGGCGTTCTACATAAGTATCCTGGACATTTTTTTCATAATCAACTTAATGAAAAAAAAATCCCAAGTCAAGAGGCTTCCCTTAACGAAACCTTCACAATCAAAGGTGCATTTACATGAAGATTCCAGTCCTGCATAAAGTAATTCTCGTACAGGATATTTTATACTGCTCTGACGTACAAATTTGTTATGGTCCAACCACTTTATGATAGTTCAGGCTCACCTCATCAA